GTCTCCCCAACCTGCGAAGTCCTGGCGCTCTGCACGGCCTGGTCGTGCACGGTGCGCTTGTGCGCGTACTGCTGGTACTGCTCGTAGTTGAAGGCGGCGCTCGGGTCCAGCGCGGCGGCAGCGGCGGCGGTGGGATCTTGCGGCTGCATGGTGGGGACGGCGCTGCTGCTGGACCGCTCCCGTAACATCATCCAGCCAGACACCACGGCGGAGCCGCCGCGCTGAGTCACGCTGCGGGTCACATCGCCGATCACATCGCTGGTGGACGCACTCACGTCCTCGCTCCTGACCGTCTCAGTGTCTCCATCACTTCCGTGGTCTCAGTCGAGCTCACATCGGTGGACGTAGTCTGCGTGCGACGAGTAGTGGCGCAAATACCGGCGTCAGGTCGCTCACTTCAGTCTCCGTCTCCTCGCTTGTGCTCTTCTCGCGTCGTCGCCTTCATGGTTTTGTCGCGTTGCTGTCTATGACTCCTCGGCCTGGAACACCTCCATCTTCATCAACTCGCCTGGAGCCACACCAGCGTTCTTGCATACGTCGTCAGTCTCCGCCGTTTTGCTCGATGTCGGTGCTCAATCGTGACAGATACTCGTCTGCGCCTCCGTGCCATGCACCTACCTGTCAGCTTCGAGAATAAATTCGCTGACTGCGGTTATATTTCACTTACCCCAAAGGTAATTACCCGCAGGTAAAAAGCATTTTTACCCACTTACCGGGTAAGTAGGGAATTACCCGGGTAAATCCCAACACTACTCCACCGGTAGTTGAGTAAAACTAAACGCCAGAAAGTACGGGGTTCTGCGCAAGTTTGGTCAGAAACGTGTACTTTCTGGTCGTGCGTATGTGAGCTCTCCTGCACGATTTTATATTTTTGGTCCAGAAAGGATTTACGTTTAGTTTACTCAACTACCGGTGGAGATGCTCTTAAGTACTACAAAGTCGTGCTTCGCGCGTTCAAACCTTTTGAAAGTTTTAACCAATGGGATTCGTTTGGCTAGATGTGTCGACGTCAGTCGAAGTTGAACGGGCTAAACGAAAGTAAGTATTACCGACAGTGCCTTTACAAACTAACTGCACACTTAGTTTCGGAGTGTTCCTTTTGTACAAGTATCGTATAGCATAACCCCAAAAGCCAGCGACGATCCGATACCTGCTAAGTTCACAGACTGTTCGCAAGTCGATGCAATGCGAGGGGGGGGGGGTTATGATCTGTCTGTTTCCCTCAATCACGAAAAGTTAAATGCCTTACACAAAATAAAACAGTTGAATGGTTAAGGTACAGTCGGTCCAGGAGGAGATCGACGATATCGACGACTGTCACGGGTGCATTGAGGACTCGGATGAGTTCGTTCGTGCGCGAGCTCGAGGCCGGTAACGTGCACACCGAGCGACGTCGCGGCCGTCCTAGCCGAGATAACCGAGCAGGGCAAGGAGGAGGGGGAACAGCTGAAAGATTCGCGCGCGCGAGCCACCGTCGAGCGCCTTCAAAACCATTCCGCAGTACTCAATTGGGAGCCTCTTCAGCTGACCAAGACTCGTATTGAGATCTGTTGCCTCTTCCCGCACAACGGCGCTTTCGATCGCGTGCGACGGAGGCTCGCGGTTTTCAACTCCAAGTGATGTAAGGTGCTTGCGAGGCGTGGCTCAATATGTATTAGCTATCGTACTTTGAAAAATACAACTTCATGTCCGTCATGCACCGTCAAGACACGCTTTCTGCATTTTATTTATCTTAGCATCCCTCGAAGCTACAAATTTTCACTCGCAGAGAAATTATCATTTCTACCCATCTTGCACGGAAACAAAGTCAATCAGACTCTCTCCGGCGCACCCGAAAAACTTTAACGCCTGCGTTTATCAGAAAGGTATTAGTTTCCGTAAATTGCTGGCGTAACATCCCATATTAAAACAGCCGCGACAGGTAATAACATTTGTTTAGTAAACGTACAACCCAACTGGGATAAATTCGTGTCACACACAGTTTCATGCAATAGAATATCAAGTGAATCCATTTATATTTTGTCACATTTGCATAAATTTTTCGAGGTATTGTGGGTTCTACTCAAAATCCTCTGGATTTTATATCCAGAGTAGCAACGTACCAATGCGCCCATAATTAAATCCCTTTGAATCGGATCAGGTACAAGCTGAATTTGCATTTTAAAAAACTCTTTGCTTATATATCCTGTAAAGATTTATAAAATCTATGCGTGTTGACCCGTCCAGGTATAGGGTTCGTTCAAGCAACACTTACTACAGATAGTACTGTAGATATTAAAATATAATCTGCTATCGGGCTCATTCGAGCAACATGCAATAAA